ATATATATATATATATAGTATATATATATATATATATATATATATATATATATATATATATAATAATATATATATATATNTTATATATATATATATATATATATATATATATATATGCTTATAAAACATTCTTTACGCGATTTGTCTTAGAGGAGGTGTATCAGATCTGGATCGCAATACAACAGGTGACATGGACACTGTAGTAGTATGCAGCTTGCTTTGGTGCTTGTGTTGTCTCTTTTTAACCTTGTTTGGTTCTTATTTCTTCCATTTTTCTCAACATAGACCAAGATCACTAAGGAGAAGCTCACACAGTCGCCGGATCAGTACGGAGCGATGCCAGACGGCTGGGACTCCTTCTGGTGCTGTTGTCGAACGATCAAGAAGGGCGCGCAGGGGTTCAATGGTGTGGCCACATACGCCAGAAAAGGACTAACTACCAGGGCAGAGTCTCAGGTGCGTCGGTTTATCTATAAATAGAGCGTCGGTTCATCTATAAATAGAGCATTCTGCGGAGGAGCCAGTTATGTGTATTATGCATATCCGGCGTGTTTAACCGATAAGGTGTTGTATGTTCAATTGTATGTGTTCTGATCCTGTGTGGCTATGTAGAAAGGGACTGACAACCCGTGACCGAGTCTCAGGTACGTAGATATATCTATAAATACCAACAGAGGCAGGCAGGCATGTGTCTGTGTAGAAACTGTTTGCTTCTTGTACAAGGTATTTGTTTAGTCAGTATCTGTCCCGATTCTATATGGCTGTGCAAATCTCTCAGCCAACCCATACATCAATATGCTATACAAAGTTCGGTACACTGATAACAGCACATATGTACACACGTGGTACTTACTGCTACGAGAGCTCAGGTGGCGGAAAGATATAGGTTAGACTATGAACTAGTCACTGTGGAAACGGAGTGTACTGAATGTACCATACCGCAGATAAACCACATCCGCGTGTACATGTTAGAGACCATTAGTATCAACTGTACATAGCACACATCGCACGCGACACAGTCCATCGACACTACAGTGCGAAGATGTACACACTTGGTGCAGAGCCCCTGCAATAAAAATATATACATACACAAAAATTTATACATACATGTGTTTCTGGGTTTAAGCAAGCATGTATATATGCATGTATAGATGTATCTACGTATGTATACACAGTCCATCGACACTACAGTGCGAAGATGCACACACCTAGTGCAGAGCCCCTGCACGACATACAAACGATACACAGACACATCACAACACAACACACACACATTGATACGTTTAACGCAATGAAGCACGCATCCAGCACCATATGGCTATTCTACCCGAGGAGTATTGTCAGATCTCTGTAACGTCTTCATATATATGCGTGTGGATGCAGGAGAGGCCTTCATATAAACGTGTGAGTGTAGTGGGGGGTGTCATGTTTTGCTTACACGCTACTGTGCACACACCTTGTACCAGTATCAACCAACTAACCACTTCTATATAATGGCTTTATCCTGTGTGTATATCTGTGCGTGTGTGTACATGCTTCGCTTTGTACTGGGTTACGAATACATGTATGGTTGCCTGTGTCTTCCTCTCTGTGTTTACTTGTATGCATGCGTTTATGCATGCATGCATGTACGTATCTATGCCCGTCCGTGTCTTTCTCTATGTTTGTATGAATGCATGCATGCACGTACGTATCTACGTCTATCTGCGTCTTTATGTATGCACGTGTGTATGTATCTATGTCTGCACCTGCCTGTTATATACACAGGTCTTTGGTCAGCCGCACCTGGACCTACAGGGCCGAACCCTTTTGACCCAACACGGCGATATGGCTATCTTCAATGTATACGCACCCACAGGAAGCCATGCCACAAAGAAAGAGTTCCACCAACAGCTGACGCTCAAGATGAGAGAGCAGCGCGCGAAGGGCATGCGTGTGGTACTGGCAGGTGAGTATGTGGACGTGACACGGGCGCGCGTGTGTGTTTTTGTGTGTATGTGATATGTGTGTGTGGTGTGTGTGTGTGTGTGCGCGCGCGCGCGCGTGTGTGTGTGTGTGTGTGTGTGTGTGCGTGTGTTTGTCTGTATGTGGTGTGTGTGTGGTGTGTGTGTGTGGTGTATGTGTGTTGTGTTGCATGGAAGTATTGTATTGTCTTCCATTGCTTAGTATACGTGCAAGTATTGTATTATCTAGTATGCATGCAATCACTGTACTGTCCAGCAAGTGTGTGCAAAATGTGGTGTGTGTGTGTATACCACATGTTGTTCTGGGCGATGGGAGACAACCACGAGGTCAAAGTCAAAGGTGAGGTGCTACGGCCCACCTGGTATAACAAAATGGAGAGCTCTGAACATCCATCGCAGCCCAGTGCCGTGTCTGGCAGGGGTGGACCTTCTTATATATATATATGTATGTATGTATGTATGTATGTATGTATGTATGTATGTATGTATGTATATAAACATATATATATATATATATATATATATATATATATATATATATATATATATATATATATATATATATATATATAGTTTAGTTTA